CCCACCTCACCCCAAATTTTGGTATCATCAGCAAATTTGAACAGGTTGCTTTGCACCCTGTCATCCAAATCGCTGATAAAGAAATTGAACAGTGCGGGCCCAAGGACCGAGCCCTGGGGGAGAGCCCTGGGGGACTCCGCTGCCCACTTCCTCCCCGGTCGAATATGACCCATCCACCACCACCTTCTGAGTATGACCCTTCAGCCAATTAGCAATCCATCATACCGTGTAGGCATCGATGCCACAGTCGCCTAGTTTTTTAATGAGGATGGGGTGGGAGACAGTGTCAAAGGCCTTGCTGAAGTCCAGAAAGACTACATCCACGGCGACACCTGCATCCAATGCTTTTGTGACCTGATCGTAAAAGGCAATCAGGTTGGTCTGACATGACCTGCCCCTAATAAAACCATGCTGGTTGTCCCTGAGCATCATCCCCGATGCCGGCCCATCACAGATATGCTCCTTGATGATCTTCTTAAAGAGTTTCCCCAGGATTGAGGTAAGACTGACGGGCCTATAGTTGCCCAGGTTCTCCCTCCTCCCTTTCTTAAAGATGGGGACCACACTGGCTATCTTCCAATCATCTGGCACCTGGCCCGAGCACCATGAGCGCTCGTAAAGCTGTGCCAAGGGCACAGCAATAACCCCTGCTAGCTCCCTCAACACCCTGGGGTGGAGAGCATCTGGACCTGCTGATTTGAACACGTCCAGCCCCTCCAGAAGCACTCTAACCTGGTCCTCCTCAACCTTAGGTCTTGAGGCGTTCCCCTCGAGTCCGTCTTGAAACACGGTGGGAGAGTCCCGGTCCCTGCACAAGAAAATGAGGATCCAGTGCCTTAAGTAGTAACATGGGTGTAAATGGCGAAGTGCCATAAGTGCGAATCGCTGTAAGTCGAAACGCCATAAGTCAGGGACTGCCTGTACATATCCAAACACTGTGCTTATACTACTGTGAGTTGTAGCATTTTGGGCCTTCAATGCTTGATAAACTTCCTGGTGCTCAAGCTGGGTTGAGAAACTAGGGATTTAGTGTTTAACTGGCTTGAATGGTTGAATTGTGTATGACATGAACAATGCTTTATCAGCGCTGCTGACCAAACCCTAAGGGTTTGATTCAGGGGCTTCAAGTAAACATCAAATTCCTTTCACTTAACTGTAGAGATGAGTTTGAATTCTTTTATGATCCCAAATGCTGAGGCACAGGGGTATAAATCCAGATCTGAATATTCTGGTTTGAACCCTTTACTACTTAACCTACCTGCCTGATTTGGAATACTGTTCTAAAGGCTCACATTTACTGACCTTGGCTGTTAATGCTTTATTTCCTTTTCCCTCCCCAAATATGTTCCCAGACTTTTTTTTGTTTGGGTTCCAAACACCTTTCACCTTGTTGCTCTCTGCTATTTCCATTTGCTAATGTTTCCCTAATAGGCAACTTCCTGGATGGGAGCAGCTTCCAACATGCACACACCAGTTCACTCCATGCTTGCATTAGGCAGGTAATTGATGGCTTTTGGTTTGTCCAGCCACCTCTTTGAGTGCCTTACATCTATCTTTGCTTGGGCTGTTATTTTTCTGATGTAGATGGCTCATGGCTGTGCTGTGTCTATTTGTTCTGTGGAGGCCAAGGTAGTTAGATCCTTGGCAACTTTAGCCCTGGCCCTGGAGCAGCTGATGTAATCTGGATGTCAGACCTTTTGTACTAACCCTACCTTCCACGTAGATCCTTGCTTTGTACGTGCAGCAAGACATATCATATATGTGCAGTCGCTATGTCTCCTTCACATTTATCTAGGCTGAGAACCCTGTCCTCTCACCCTTCGCTCTGGATGAGCTGGTCGGGTTGGCTTTTAAGATGCCTGGGAGACATATTATGAAAGAGTCAGGGGGGAGCCGGACTGCTGAGGGATGAAGATGGCCCCAGGTTTACTTGTCTAAAGGCATCTCAGTGACACTTGTTTGTCATTATTCCCATTGCTGTAACCTTTCCTGGTCTTTTGCATTGTGGTAACCCTGGAGACTGGCTTGCCGTCATTGCTGTGTTGAGGCTGTGGCTTTCTGGTCCAGCCAGAGATTTATCTGCTTGTAGCAGCTGGAGCCATCGTTGGGTGGGCCAGGCCTTGGAAACAGGTTGGTTCTCACTAAGCAGCAGCTGTTCAGTTGAAAACCACAAAAGGGTGCCTTGAAGGGAGCACCTGCTGCTGCTTTTGTCGAGCAGCTTGTTTACTAGGCTGCGCCCACGCGATTGTCACGCAAACAGGACCGTATTTAAATGTGCCTGCAGAGAGAGAGGTGTCAAAAGACCTTGTTGGTTTGTGAGAGGCTTTGGCAGGGGTGGAAAATGTTATTTAAAAAAAAAAAAAAAGTTTGTTACCAAAAAAGCAGCTGAATGTTTATTCTTTGAGGCCGTGGTAACCCACAGTGTGGGGGACCATGCTCATTGAAAGGCAGAAGTTGGTGGCTGCTGTGGAGAATCATATCCTATTCCTGTGTGTAGGACGGTGCTGGGGTCAGGTTAGAAGAGGGTCTCGGTAGGTGATGAGGGGTGCAACAGCAATGTAGGGGCAGAGGAATAGTGTGCTGCCCTCCCACTGCTGTGTTTGTTCTGTGGATGAAGGAGGGATGTCTGACACCATTTAATAGCAGGGGGTTTCCCATCTAAATTTCTAAAGGAGATGAGATTGATAGACCAGCATGCAAGGACTTTTTGTGTATTACAGCCTTTTTTTTCCCTACCAGTCTAACTCCTAATGCCCTGCACTGCAATGTACTTTAGCTTGTGACTGCATCTTTGTTCCCTTTGATATTAAGAGTTTTTTTTTTTCTCTATGCCCTGCAAGAAGCCATTTTTATACCAAGGAGAAGGCATTGCCTTAGAAAATGCTTTGTGTGTCAAATTTTATCAAGTATAATATTAAACATGACTTAACAGTCACGGTAGGCCAGAGCTGCCATGGTTACTGTCCTGCCAGCTGATCCTCATTTGTAGGGTTAACCACAAATAGCTGATAAAATGGCAAACATAATGGTTCCAAACTCTCTTCAGAGTATTTAACATGACAAATTAATGTATGCTGGTTAACACAGTGATATTTCCCAGTATAGATGAGTGTGCGTGTGTATGTGTAACATTTTGGACCTTAGTAGCTCTTCTGAGAGGTGTATTCTAGTGCCTGGGATTAATTCCAGGAAAAGTGAGCAGATGACATTACAAAGGTTTGGTGCGGCAGTCTACAATGCAGATTAGAAATCTCTTCAGACTGTCAGACGCTGACATTGAGACCTGACAGGTAGAAACTGAAGCTAGAAAAACTCAAACAGGTAATGTTACAAATGTTAGCAATGGGATCAGTTTCAGTATTGGAACTGCTTAC